GTCCGGCGCAGCCTGGGGTTGTCCATCCGCTGAGATGCAGGGGATGGTGGGTGGGCTTGCTGGCGTTGCGTTCTCGGTGGTGACCGCAGCACAGTGCTGGAGAGGGGGGCTGGTGGTCGGACAGGAGCTGGGAGACCGAGAGACCCGCGCGCGTGCCGGCTGCTCGTCCCAGGTCTGTGTCCTACGGCTGCCCTTCTCCCTGTGGCTGCTCCAAGGCAACCCACCGAGACGGGGTCACTGCGGAGAGTTGAGCCCCCAGGTCTCCGTTCTGCCAGGTCCCCAGAAAAGGTTAATGTGTGGATGAGCGATCAGAGCTCAGTGTGGTGCACTTGTTTTACCTAATTCAGAGCATTCAGACAGTGAAAAATGTGTCTTTTCCTGGGCTTCTCTTCATCTTCATATAATCAAGACTATTATTTTAAATATACAGATTTTCAACCAAAACTTATATACACATAATTTATATCATTTCCTAGGTATAGATCTTATTTTCTTTCCTCCAACATGGAAAGTAACGTGCAAACTCTGAGTAGCTCTGAGATGCTGAATTCCAAATCATCTGAATTAAAGTTGAATCCCAGTGGGTTCTGCACCTTCCCAGTTGTTCATCACTTGCGGGGTTTATTACATTTTAGATGATACTATTAAACCCAGCCACCCCTAGAGATACCGGTTAGACTTTGTGAATCTAAAGTGCAGAAGACCATGAACGAGTCCCCAGAGCTGCTCCAATTTAGCAATGCAGTAATTTAAGTTTCCTTTAAAAAGACAACACATCGTAGCATTTTTTTAATATATTTATAATTTGTTTACAAGCTCAATTTCCCTCCCTCCAGTACCTTTTAGGAATTACAAAACAAATGTATTTTCCCCCAATTTAGATCCTTTTTTTCTATTTAGCAAACATTGATTTTTACTTCCTTCCCCGGTGCTTTTGTTCACTGCCAAAATTAACATGTCTCTTTGGTTGTGCTTTCCAGAGGGTCTGTCTGGGGAGGCTGTGGGACTGGGTCCCAGCACGGGAGTGGGTGCTTCTCCCTCCTCCCTGGCGCTGGTCGGTGCAGCTGCCCGCGGCAGCACCCGAGGGGGTTTGGTGCTGAGAGGGTCTTGGGGCCAGCACCAGCAGTCCAGGCCTGCCTCGTGCTTTACAGGGACTTTTATGAGGCTGTTCACTTGTAACCATAGACACTAAAACGTAAAGTTTTAAAACGTTTTTGTTTCATGCCGCATGGTGGAGGGCCCAACCTTGCTGGCTCTGAGCTGGTTGCTGAAACCTTTTACAGCCCGGAGCTGCAGACGTTGGCGAGACGCGCGGTCCCGAGGGGCTCGGCGGGCCCCCTTGCCTGCTAGCCTGCTGCTTCCAGTAGCTGGACGGGCAGCTCGCTGGGCCCTGCCTGTCCTGAAGCGTGACCTGCTGAGGGTGGCAGAGCCCTGTCACAGTCCTGGACTTGACCCAGCGGGCAGCTTCAGGTTCCTCAGCAGCCGACCTGTCCTCAAAGGACAGGAGAGACCGCGGAAGCTCTCCAGCCCTGCTCAAAGGCAGGAGTAGCCACCCTCATCGTTTCGAACAGGCAAAGATGTGAACTCCTAAAATCTTCCCTTGCTGCAACTTGAGCCCACTTCCAGCGCCTGGAGACCAGAGGGAAAGCTCCCCCAGGCCAGGCTGCTGCATCAGGGCTGAGCTCCTGGAGCCGCCCGTGGCTGGGCTGGCCCTTGGCAGCGGTGCTGGCCCCAGGGCCAGCCGCACGCCTGGGGTTAACTGCGGGGCTGGAGCACGGGAAGCCCCTGTTGCGAGTGGCAGATCTGCAAGGAAAATTGAAAAGGAGCATTTTGGCCATGTGGTGCCCATAAAAACGAACGCAGAACGCTTCAAAAGTATATGAAATCTGCAGATAGGGTTTTTTATGTTTCAAAAGTGTTAAATATGAAAAAAAAAACCCCTCAACAGGAGTTTAAATAAACACAGGCAAGTGAGTCAGCAAGAAGATATAAAATCATCAGGAAAGGCTGAGTTTGTTTTAATACAGGGATTACTGTAAACACTAGGAGTGCATGGTAACAATTTGTAGCCCATGTGTTTTGAAATATCATAACTGGTGTCAATAAACACATTAAAATTCGACTTCAAAGGGCTTTGTGGATGTTTGGAGTGTCACGAAGACATTGCAAAACGGGGATTTTGGATGGAGACAAGCATGGGAGCAATCAAACACAGCTTCTACGTGAAGAAAGGGATCTTGTCAAGTTGTTAGAGCTAAGCATCTGTGATGGTGATTACTGCTTCTTCCTGGCTAAGCACTGCTCGCAGCCCCTGATTTCTTCCACGCTGTCTCCCGTGCCTTCCACCCCGACCTCCTTGCTCGTCTCTCCCACCGGTTTCGTCCCACTTCTCAGACTGAATTTTTTCGAGCAGGGCCTGCCCTTTGCTGCTTGTTTCTGCAGTCCTTGGGAAAGCCCGGCTGATGTCCAGGTGCTACCTCCATGTAAAGAAGCAGCTGGGTTTGTCTGCGTGCCAGCATGACTTGTGGCACAGGGTAAGTGCTGTCCTCGTGCGCTGACGGGCTGGCTGGGTAGAGGCATCTCCCAGCGCGGCGGTGTTTGATGCGTTTGATTCTTCCGTGCGCTGTGGGCTGCTGCGCTGGGGCTTTAGGGCATGGAGCAGGCTGAGCAGCCCCCATCTGTCTGCCCCACACACAGTTTCAGTGGTAGTATTCTGAACAGAAGACTTTTGTCCCTCTTCATTCAAACTTCCACTGGGTCGAAATGCGCTCTTTTTCTCCTTTTTTCTCTTCTTGTATTAATTTCCAATGCATATGGATTCACTCCGTAAACGCACTTCTTTTTGTCACACAAATTGTACGCGTGCTCCAGGGAGACGGTTCTGTAACTGGGCTCTGCCAGCTGCAAAAGCACAGAGTTCTAACACTTCAGCTTTAGCGCTTTAATGAATCCTTTGGTTTGTTTCTGGGGTATCCCAGAAGGTGGGCTGGCTCTCCGAAACGGGCTCTGCCCCCTCCCGAAGGAGACCTTGGCGTGGCAGCGTGTGCTGTGCCGCCAGGTGAGTAGGTGAGATCGCTGACGTCTCATACTGTCTCTTCTACGAGCTCAGAGTACTTCAGCTGAACGCAGACAGTCATTTCCCTTATTGCAAACCCTATAGTGACAACGTCAATTCACCCCTGCCCTTTTTAAGGTGCTTTATGGCAGGAACAATATGAAGGGACAAATGAAAATTACTGCGTCACTGTTCAACTAC